CACCGCCGCGGAAGAAGCCATACCCATGTGAATACCATGGCCAAAATCCTGGTGCCTGTGCTCATCGATGGAGAAGGGAGGTGCTGCATTGGAATGAGACGGCATGTTAGGGTTCGACAAGGGCCTCATCCCTGGCGGCGCGTGACGTGCACTCGCCGCCTGGGAAGCGGAGATTGCGCTGAAGGCTCCTCTCTGGAGGTGATAGTACGGAGAATGTGCGCCGGGAAATGCCATAGCTTCTCGCCCATCCATGCATTTAAAACTCTAAGAAAGCTTCTCCCTGAGGGTTTAAAAATTAAATAGGAAACGAGACAGAGATTTCTAGGGTTCCTAAATTTTTTTTGTGAGAGCGGGAGAGTCTGTGAAAGGACGAAACTTTGAAACAAAATCTCCACCGCCCAGGAAAAAAAAAATCTAGAAATCGAAGAAGGTAAGATGGGTACGAGAATCCTAATAGGCTAACCTAAACTATCTCCAAGAGAGAGAAGAGAAATCAACAATGGCGTCAGGGTTTTACAGAGGTTTTTCCTGAGAATGGAGAAAACCCAATCATCAAGTCGAGATTTTAGCCAAATCCCACGAGAATTCAAGGGACGAGACTAACGAAGAAACCATAAAGAAGCCAACTTTGAGCCCAGAAGTAGAAGGAAATTACAGATTTTGAAATTGCGAACAGCTGAGGAAGCAAAGAGGGCTAAGGAACGAGGCCGTAGGCGGAGCAGTTCCTACGATAACAGTCTAATAGAAAAAGAAAACCCACCGAGAAAACCCTAGATTTCGAATGGACATCAGAGAGGAGAAAAGGGAAGATGACAGAAGAGACAAAACAGGGGGGAGAGAGAGAGAGAGAATTTTTAAAATTAATTTGAAAACCGAAGCAAACTTTTGAATTAAAGCATATACTCTGAAAGTTTGAAGACTGAAGAGTGAAGACATTAGTTTTCTCTTTTATAATAAAATTTAATTATATAATTTTCCCATTTCCCTAAGGTATCCATTTTTGGTAAAGCTTTAAGAGATGGGGAGTGAGCACTTGGAAATTTCTTTAATAAAAAATCTATTTTTTTCAAGATTTATAGAAAAACTTTACTTTTATATAAAAATCCAAATATTTTAAAAACCATAACTAGTGTAAATTTGTTCCCAATCTAATGAGAGTTGAAAAGGAAAGTAATCCCCCAACCAATAATCAGTTATGTGCAATTCCATGTACTCCTAGATATATATTACCAAAAACTTCATACTTATTGTGTGTTTTTATTATTCAGGCCATTTTATGACTACTCATTCAAATAAAGTTTTAATATTGATGATAAGAGGTTTGTACCTCATAAAAAATAATTTATATTTAGTTTTTTTATTTCAATGATAATTTACCAATTACAAATTTAACTTTCTTGTACTTCTCCGGTCATTCAAAATTATGTTTCAAATTAAGAATACTCTTGGAATAAAATTTTAAATAAAATATTATTATTTGTCTAATAGGCAATATAATAATAATAATAATTGAGTAATATTTAGAGGGATAAAGTCAATTGAGTGAGAAGATGTGTCGTTGACTAAAAATATAAGGGCCAAAAGGACATCTCGCTCTCTCTCTTCATACGTCTTTATCACTTTGCAATTTCTTTCTTTGCTTGGGACAGTGAGCCCTCCCTCCAAAGTTTTTATTTTCCTCCTCTTATATTTTTTTTTATTTGGAGTTTCAAATATATTTAATAACATACCATAGATGTTTAGGCAAGTCAATTTTCAATATGATTTTTAGTGGATGCAAGTAATTTCTGTCTTAACCCTTACGAAGCATTCTAATTCTAAAGGAGGAGAAAAAGAGAGAACATTTTTTTACACATTAAAAGAAGAGTTCTATGGAGTTTTAATATTTGATAATACATTTTAAGATGTCCAAAAAAGAACATAAATGCCACCATATCTTAATGTTCTTTTAGTTGTAATAAATAAATATATACTTTGAAATGACATATTTAAGTGTATTTAATTCGACGGGAGATACCAGCTGCTTCCTTAAAAACATTGCCATCTTTTAATTTCTTGTGCTGTACAGCAAGCAAGCACGTGCTGGTCACGTGTCCTAGAAGTTGATGTGAATTGTGAGGTGAATTTTCTAAATTTGTTTTTTAAATAAAAATCCTTTTTTTTTGGGAAAAAAAACTAAATCTATGAAAACCTCTACAAACTATCATCATATATTAATTTCCCAACAATTTGGACAAAAGCATATTACCAAACAATCTAATAGTAAGATGGTTTTTATTTTAATAGTCGCTTCTTGACTTTTCACATAATACTATAGAAATTATCAAAGACTAATCTAATCCCAATCACTGATAAAAAAGCATTACAAAATATTTAAAAGAAAAAGAAAGATAATATGGGATCTAATTAAGTAATAAATATGAGAAAGGGTGTTAAATAGAATGGAAAAGTGAGGCTCTCAATTCTTGTGAAAGTCCTTTCGTTCGTTCGTACACACACACATGCATGCATGCATGCATACATACATACATACATACATACATACATACATACATACATACATACATACATACATACATACATACATACATACATACATACATACATACATACATACATACATACATACATACATACATACATACATACATACATACATACATACATACATACATACATACATACATACATACATACATACATACATACATACATACATACATACATACATACATACATACATACATACATACATACATACATACATACATACATACATACATACATACATACATACATACATACATACATACATACATACATACATACATACATACATACATACATACATACATACATACATACATACATACATACATACATACATACATACATACATACATAAGCATATGTATATCTCGCGTGTGGATATGTACAGAGAGAGAGAGAGAGAGATGTGGGGTAGTGAGGTAATCAAGAGGTTGGTCTCTGCCAAAAACGCCTGCTGATTCTCTCTTGTTGGGAAAGTGATCTCAACAGTTACTTTTTCTGGTGAGAGAGACACTCACGAGTCACAAGAGAGAGAGAGCTGTCTACTGGCTACCATATTCAATTCAATCCTATACCCACACACATTTTCTAATTACATAGAGCTCCAAATACCAGGGAGCTTATGGATTTGGTAAATTCGTCCATTCTAATCCCACACGATTAGCCAGGCCAGCCTTATTCGTTCCATTTCATCAATATCTTTACTGCTAGTTTTGCCTGTTTAGATTAGATTGATCATGAATGTATGTATCCATTAGTGTGGTGAGATCAGTTGAATCATAGCAAACAGTACCATTCACTACATCCAAAGTTCGTTTCTCCCAAACCTTATACCAGAGAGATGATAGTACCCAAGCTACAGACTAAAAATGAATTAATTTAAATGGTCGACAATTATTCAAACTATGGCCTCATGATTTGGTATTATTAGATTTCAGAGAAGAACCTGGGGAGAAGATGAACCTGAGGACTTGGTTTGGCTTCTCGTTTGATGCGTTTCCTGTGTTTCCACTCTGTAATGTCTGTGACCATCTTCTTCCCAATGCTTGTCCCAGACCGCCTCTTACCCGATATTGTCTGCCACCGTGAAGGGGTTTTTGGCTCCACCGATGTCATATTCATCTCTCTGCAAAGGGAGGTTAGATAAATAGATTTGGAAAAGCGGGAAACGGGTGAGAAGAAACGATCATAACCTGTCAAGCATCTCCTTCTTTTTTCGTGTTTGTAATGTCTAACAGAGTAAATCTTCATTTACTGAAGCAGACTTGTAAAATCGTACAATAACACGGTTATAAAATGCGGGTTGGTATCAAAACATACCTTTGCTCGGTAAGCGGAAGGCAAGCAGGGCATTCATATGTCTTCGGCCGGGATTGTAGTTTGACACAGTAGGTGTGGTACCATTCGCCACACTGATCACAAGCTATCATAGATCTCGAGTCATAGGGCTTTCGACAAATGCAATGTAACATACTTCGAGCTCGTAGTGACTGCATCCAACATTACACATTACAGTTCAGAAACAGCAAGGAATATTCTCTTTCTTGGAAGGGAATATCTTTTTTAGTTAACCTTGATCTCTTTCTTCATATGGACAGGGAGATTTTCGCCCTCGGCAATAAGCTCAAAAACTCTTTCCAAAGCAAGAGCCCCGGAGTCTGTTGCCACCTGCACTCAAACCAATAACTCAGTTTCTCACTAATCGTTTGAGAGGGTAATATGAGTGCCCAGCCTGACTGAAGAGAACATGTAGTTATCGTATTATACTTTTTTAGCACGTTCTGCCCAATTCTGTCCCGTGGCCTTTAACTCAGCGAGTCTCTGTCTGAAGTACTCTTCAGGTGGTATTTTCAATACTTGTCCCTGTCAAGAAACAAGTGACCGGAACTCATCACCACATTGTCAAACGTGTATCCAAGTATTTACGAAACAAGAAAATATCTTAGTCAATGTTTTTCGCATGGTATTGTAGAGTACAAGTCACTATAAGCACAGACTAAAAATATGATATAGAAGAATAAGGCTCTGCAGATAGCAACCAAAGATTTCGGTATGCAAAGGAAAGTGAAGGGTTTGCTTGATTCCTTTTACATGTCATGTTGTCAGATCCGCATAAAATTAGCCCCATACCTCTTTCAAATGCTGCTGAATTTGTTGTAATGTGGGCTTCCCCAGATCTTCTAGTAATTTATTGACTCTAAATTTCCACAAGTTCCTTTTCAAGGCTAGCTCCAATTCAATGTTGGTTTCCCGACTGTGGACGCTTATAATGTTGGTTGCCTGCCAAAATAAAACAGCTTTTTATTAGGACCATACCATATCCCCGGTTGAAGTACTAATTAAGGATTTCGAAATGCAAAGGAAGACAAGTTCAGTATAGGGTCACAAGGAAATCAAATGTTGAGCATGAAAATATAAAATACCCGTAGCATAAGAAGGATAACAACCTTTAATGCAATAGTCAATGTCTTTGAGGCTTCGTCCACATTTCTGTCCAAATAATTGACCGCAAAGTCCAACATTTCTCTCAAACATGAATTACATGCAGCAGCTTGATCAACAATTTCTCGTAATACTTGTGTCTCTTCAATCCTATAAAAACATGAAATATCAGTATGAAGCTCACTATGATGATAATGGAAAAATATTGCTTTCATGGCATGAAAGTAGAATTTCAAGACATGATAGCTTATTATCTTCGTAGAACAAGAAGTAAACAGATGAAACCCTTTTAAGTAGAACTTCAAAACACGGTAACTTATGCCAATCAGCTATTTGAAATGCAAGAGCACATATAGTCCTAGAAACCGTCTTCCCCATCTCCTGAGGGATGGTCGAAAGGGTTCATAACTACTGTCTATTGAATGAATGGATAAAGACACATCCAGTTAGAAAACTACTGAATGGAAAAGAAGACAAGTGACTGGCCCTGATCCTCTCATAGTTGTTTGATCACAAGGTAAGGAATAATAAAGCTTGATACTAGTGGTAACTAAAGATAACAACCTCTTTTCTTTTCTTTCTTTCTTTTTTTTTTTGTGTGTTGGCTGAACAAGAGAGCAAGAATTCGAAAAAAATTTGGTGTCCAGTACAGAAGATTGTGGATTTTTCAGAAGCCCATAGAGTCAATAGTTTTTATTATAATGAGGGAACTTCGAAAAACAATTTCTTATAATGTGTCAGCTTTGAAGCTTCTTACCTTGTACATAAATGTTCAGCATCTGACAGCAACTCAATCAATGCTGGTACATTAGGATGCTGCCCTTCAAATTTCTGGAAAAATTAAAGAAACAAAAAGCAGTCAGAAAAAGGTCGGGCAACGTTACCAATTTCAGAGAAAGAACATGAAACCAATACATACCCAGGGGTTGCCTCCATGTTGAGGTACTGTTCCGCTCACGAAAAAATTACAATACAAGCATATATTTTCTGTTTCAGTTCTGTCGACTTCATTTCCTCTAAGGCATTCGACATGGTAGCTGTTCATCGAAAGTACAGTTACAACAAGTGACCAAAGTGGTGATTGAACTGAATTAAAAGAAGATTTCGGGGAAAGGAGCAAAGGGTACATAAAATCTTCCACAAGTTTCTTAGTAGGTATACTGACATCCAAATCCAAAGTAAAACACTGAAGAAATTTCCTTTAACAATAAATAGTAAATACATACCAGTCCTTGCATACCGAACAAGTCAGAAGTGACTGATCATGAAGAGGATGAACACAGAAAAAACATAGAGTTGACTTCTCCCGATAATCCGACTTTTGATACAAGCATAAAGATATATCTACATGTTGTTTAACCTGTAACATTTCAGAGTGGGAAAAGACCTATAAACACCAGCGTTATACTGTAGAATTTATCAGTGTATATGCTACGTGAGTGTAATGTCTTTTATATGTCTGGTAGTCAAGAAATACCTTCTGCAGACAGCCAAGTAACGGAATGGCTTCATCACCAAATCTTCCCAAGCTATGCAGGCAACTTTGTTTCCATATTTCCAATTTTCCAACTTCAGACAAAACCAAATCTCGTTCAGAACAGTCAAAAGCCTCGAGTTTCCCAAGTTCCTGAGTTTGAACAAGACAATCACTCAAAAAAGAGCCTGGAGTGAATAGACAAGAAAGGAAGTTTATGAACAGCACTATCAAAAGGATCTTATCTTACATTAAGTTGCAGCAAGCGAGACCAAGATCGCTGCTCAGGCTTCAGGTTGAAAAATTGATGTACATCGTCTTGCCATAATCTACATTAACAGCAAACCGCAATAATACTCATAATGAGCCAATTCCGAGTAAAAAACTCTCTTCGTGCTATCGATGCATATAGGAATTGAATACAAGTCAGAAAAACGCTTTTGATAACATCTAAGATTCAAAGGATGCCAAATTACAGTGTCAATTCGCCTATAAGAGGAGTACAATGCAAATGAAAAACCACTGATATTGTTTATGTGCATCGTTTTACTACAAATAGATAGTCACATGACTCACTTGTGTTTGCAGATAGCACTTTGAAGCTGCCCAACTGTGGCATGGTATAAGATGTCTGTGCCCTGGAAAAGGTGGAAAACTAGAAAGATGAGTCCCGGCAAATTAGATGCAAACAATGGAATGTTTCTCTGTCCAAAGCATTTAACGGATACCTAAGCAGATAGTTTGAAATACCTTAGAATCTTTAAGAATCTCTTCGGCGTCACCTAATTTGCATCTTCTGAGATCCTCCGGAAAAGAAAGCACTTCTAATGCTCTCTTGAGCCACTTGATACCTTCAACTAAGAAGCTCCACAGAGAACTGGAAGGACATGTCAGCTTTTCTTCTGCCTCGAGCAAACTCTCAACTTCCTGTTTGACATAATAATAACACAAAGATTTCAATTATGTCAATCAGAATTCTGTTCAATGGCTTCAGTAACCTAGTATAAAATTTACAGAAACAGTCAACGTGGATATTTAAGTAAGTTACTATTGAACTAAATTAACAACCATTTAAAAAGAAAAAATGTAGCAATTTATTTGTTTCAAATTTAAAACTTGCAGAATGAATTACTAATAAAACATACATATCTTCACTCAAGACACCTTAAAAAGGGTACAACTTACCTCAAAGAAAGGGGTGCCACAGCTTAAAGAGATGGTCTTACAACACCATCCCAGTTTTGAGCAAGCGGTTTGAAGTTTGGGAAGTTCATCAAAGTTGAAACCAAGATCCATACCAGACTTCTCAGCAGACTCCAATCTGCTGATCAAATTCTTAATTTCTGGAAGGATCGTATTATGTATGACATCATCTAATTTCGCTTTGTGCAGCAAATGTGCTGTCTCTTGCAATAGTTGACAAGTATCACACTGCCATTTCTCACAATTAACCAACAATCTTTCAAGAATCTGTGGCTCTTGAAGCTGAACTTTGAGTGATCTAGACTGAGAAACTATGTCCTGCAGCATTTAAGGCATTGGAATCCTCTCATACACATCAGTTACAGGCAAGAAAAACAAAAACAGGTGCAGGAGGCAAACAAACCTTTAATGCAGCAAGTTCAAGCAAAGAAGAAGAGGCTGATTTCAGAGAAGAAGCAGGAGGTAAAAAAGGTTCAGATTTCTGAAGCCAGGAGTCCACCAACAAAATTCTGTTTTTTATGTCCTCCACAGAGGGTAAAATCACATGTATCTCCTCAGATGCCCTATAAACAAGTTCTTTTGATGAGTAAAAGAAAAACTAAAAATGAAGTGAGGACTGGATTGAAACGAAGCTATTAAGTAATGAATTTAAGAACACCTTAAGCAATCCTCAAGGTCGGACATCTGAGCTTCACTAGCAAGGATATTTTTTGCCCTTTCCTCCCAGCAGCACGCTGTTGACAAAATTCCAGAAATATCACCAAATAACTTTTCCTCCTTAATCTGCAGTCTGGAATTAAAAAAGCCATTTCAGCATGAAAATGGAAATGAAGTAGAAAATGAGTACTACAGATTCTACTCAACAGAAGGGGAAAGCGTACAAAGCAGCATCTGACATCAGCCGCTCAATGAAATCCAGGGAGCTTTTTGCAGAGAAAACCTGTATCAGAATTGAGTGCACAATGGCTGCGTTGAAGATATGAACTTAATGTTTTTCAAAGGGGATGCAAATTTTATTCGATAACTAGTCATGTATTCTACTTTCAAAATATAAAACGACAATGACAAAATTTGTTGCAAAATCTATAAGACGGTATCAACGGTTATTGTACTGTGCTGTGCAATAAATAAATATTCCAAAAAAGAGAATCCAGTTACTTTTTTAGCCTTTTCCCTGCAAGATGCCTTCTTCAGTTCGACCTCAACCAGGGATAACTCTTCAACTGTTTCAAACAGTGTGGATAGGTTAAAGCTCTAGCTATACATCGGAGCGGAAAAAATTGGTATGAACCAGGTAAAACAAAACACCCTTGAAAATTTCAAGCATAAAAGTAATATACCTTGAATGCTTAAGTAGGCCCCATCTTTTGCGAGAGAACTCAGCTCATCGACCACACTTCGATGATCCCCAGACTCATGGATATCAACCATGATACGGTTAAAGCGTGAAATCCATGATACAGTGTCACTATGGTACTGCCTCAGGATATTTAATTCAGGAAGGTTAACGCCAAAACTATTGAATTCATGAAGTAACTCTTCCACACTCTGCCAATCAGAAACAAAATCTCAAAATCAGAATAATCACACTAGAGGATACAGAGCAAAAGGTAGGATAAGATACAACCTTGAGAGAAATAGAACTACACAAAATTTTGCTGCATTTAGCACGGACTGATTCTGCTTCCCTTAGCAAATCCAGCAGCAGTGTTGTTTCTGGAAGTTGAACCTGAAGCTCCAATATCTAATAACCAGACAGAGGAAATTCAGGATGCATTAAATAAAAGGGTTAATCTACAGAATAAGGATATCAAACCACCTCTGACTTCAACTTGTAAAGAGCATCCAATTCAATTCCTGCT